TCCCTCACGGCGGTGGTCCGTAGAACAGGAAAGTAGGTCGGTGGGGCCTTGGCGCGAGGCTAGTTCGTTCACCCTGCCTGGCCCGTAACTGGGGCAAGATGAAATTAACCGAGCGGCCCGCCACCTCGCCCCACCGCCTCCTCTCGCCTTCTCCTACCTCCGTTCGGCAAGTAGAGTGAACTCCGCGACTCGTGTGGCCAATCGCCGGCGGGCCGGTTCAACAAACTCCAACTGGGTCTCCCTACCGACCCGCTCGCCTCTCTCTCTCGCTCTCTCTCTCGTTCTCGCTCCTTCTCCAGCCCCTTCCCTTCCCCACCACCGTAGTTTAGCTACTCGACCAACCTCCCCACCCACGGCTATCATCGAAGGTCACCAACACACTCGGCCTGCCCGTTCGCCCTCTTGTTCTCTGCTCGCGTAAAACAGACCGATGTGCTTCTCATATACAGTTACACACCGCCATCCAGCCGTTCATAAGCGTTCGCCCACCTTTTCTTCGTACTTCCCCCCACCCCACCCTCCGACATTTTCTATTTCGCGTTTCGTCTCCTTTTTCCTCCCCCCATCGCGTTTTCCGTGCAATTTTGGATCCGGGGAAGGCAGTTTGACCGATTGGCTATTTGGGGCATCGCGATAGGGCCGCGAGCCGGCAATTCTCGCGGAAAGGGACGATTCGCGCGAAGAGTTGCATACGTCCGAAATGCGCGGAGGGGGTGGCGGAGGGTGGATACGTTGGAAGAGATCAAAGTTATTCCGCATCGATAACTATAGGCTCGGACGTTTTACGTAATTCATCGTATCACCCTCTTTCGTGTATCCTCTTTCCCCGAATCTCGCATCCTTCGCGAAATGTCAAGATCCAAACGTATTTCGTACTGCCGCCCACACCTACCCTCCGAGTATCCTCGACGTCATACTCGGAACTCCATTCTTCACCCCCGTAACTAGCTTGCGCGGTGCCTCGACCTAACCTACTCCCCGTGTAATTTCGACCGTTTCCATAATACCTGGACGTACCGTAATCCACGCATAGCTGTCGCACAGCCGCGAAGTATTGCGCGAGCACGCGGTTCGCGCGGGCGAGAAGGAGAAAGAGAAGCGTGACGAGCGTACGTGCGACACACGCGCGTCACACGCACAACGTACGCACACAGGTCCGTTCAACCGGCTGAGAATTCTCCTCGTAGGCCCCGTTACGTAACCCCACGATAGTGAATTACGTATGGGCTACCTACTCAACAGCCAGTCCCTCTCTCTCTCTCTCTCTCTCTCTCTCTCTCTCTTCCTCTCTCTCTCCCTCCCGTCTCTTTCTTCCCCGATTTCTTTTCCACGAGATCCCCGGCTCGGTCTCGAGACTGTCCCGCGGAGAAAGTACATTAGCCGAGCTGCTGGACCGTGATCACTCTCGCTCGGCCGCCATGTTGGAATGCTTTCACCGTTTCTCCGTTCCTCGTCGCGCTGCATCCGCCGTGCGGAGCACTGACCTGCCGCAACGAGCGTAACTACGAGGCGGGTCGAGAGCGGCTCTCTCGTTTCGCCTCCCGATCGAGCTGTTCCGTTCGGTGCATTCCGAATTTCCGCGCGACTCCGGCGTCGCCGAGAGAACTCGAGGAGTCGCGACGCTCGCGACCCGCTCGCCCGGCCAATCGGGGCCCACGCGATCGGTTCGCGCCGCGGACCCGCGTAATTTTAGCACCCGTGCAATCGACTCACGCAACCGCGTTTCCTTTTCACCCTGCGCTTCGATACCGAGGACAGCCCGGCCACCAGGCAAGGGTTCCTCCCGCCATTGCGAATCTCTTCGCGTCCGGTCACCGTGGAATGTCTCCCCATAGACGGCGTGAAATCTCTAGCGCACGATTTGACGACTTGGCCTCGAAGTTTCGAGCGATATGCTACGCTAGTGACGCACTTGTTTACCTCGGACTCGAAATTTGGTACAGCTTTTGTTCGCCTCGCGTGAATTTCCGATTCCAAAATACTTGGAAATTTAACGTCATTTGGGTTTCTTTGTTGCGGAGCACTTTTCACTTTCTGCATCTGCGTCTTCGTTGACGTAACGAGTTAATAGTTAGTTTCTAACGAAATTTTAAGATGGACGTAATTAATTGCACAGCGGCCAGTACTGTGCTTGAATTTCGGTATTAATGTCTCGATATAGTCGAATGATTTTGTACTTCATGTCGCGATCGTCGCCCTTCGTAAATTTCCAATGGCGTTGAACGAATCTTCGCGGATAGATGAAAGAACCCGCTGAAATTCTCGTTATCCATTAGGCGATACCTGATCCCGTAAAGACCGGAATACCGGTGACCGGTGCGCTCGATCGACAACCCAGGGCTCTGGAATCGGTAGAGTCGGGGGTGTCGCGTGCAGGAAAACGCGAAGATTGCTGGTCGGATAAGGCAGTGCCCTGTGAAGGGAAGAAAAGCTCGTTTCGACAGCGGACAGGCGCGCGCGAACTCCGTCGGGCATTTTTTAATTGCGCTCGCGCTGACGACTGCCTAACCTCAAAAGCAAGACACACGGGCAATGGCCTGGCCTCCTCCTGGTCCCCAGTGACCTCGATTGATGCGCTGTGTCCTCTCCCAGTCCACGATTACCCCTCCCCCTGCCCTCGCCGCGCCCCCGTCCGCCCCTCCCCGCCGCGCTGGCTAGAGGAGCGTTGACTCGACATCGCCCAATCAGCGGCCGGTTCGTCGACTCTCTGAGCTGCTCTCGGGGTCGTTCTAATCTCGCAACGTCCCTACGCCACAAGCCAAACCGACGAGAAGCCCGATAAGAGTACGATCTCCCCTCCTCCTCTAATCTCACTCGCGGCTCTCCTCTTTTTCTTGCCTCTTTATTTCTCCTCGCTCTCTCGGTTCACGCTGCTGCGTGCGGACCGACCAGCTCGCTATCTTCGTCCGCGGCCGTCATCCGTCTCGCTCCTACTCTCGCGTGCGCCAGCACGCCAAGGTGAACAACCTCGAACCGTGTCGGGGCTCTTATCGCCCGCGAGCTTGGACCCTTATCGACGCCAGCTCGCGCTTCTTCCACCCAAGTTCGCTGAACCGATCGCGAAAATCGAGTCAGCGAACGGCAGAGATCGCCAGGATACGGGATAAGGGTTGAGTTTCGAACCCCCTCTGTTTCGCGAACGCCTTTGCCGCGAAATTACGGGTCAATCTGTATCTTTCGAGCCCTCTCATTTGGAGAATATATTAGCGAGATTCGTGGAAAATTTGAATATAGAAATGGAAGGTAATTCCGTCATCAATCCTCTTCGAGGGGTGTTTAGACCTCGTCATAAGAGTCTGCGAATTGTCGATATAGTATCTTTTATTTTTCGAACAAAAGAGTAGAATCTCCCTAATATCCTGATCCTTTAGATAGCCTACGACCTAATACTCGAAAAATCAGCGAAATCCTGCCAACTGTCAGGATATTTCGTCACTCTTGATTTCTAATGGAGAGAGAAAGTTTTGCTAAATGTCAACCCTAGAAAAGACGAAAGTGTATCCAGCTTGGCTAAACCGAAGACACCCCGGAGTTCTTCCTCCGCGCAAACAAATTAGCAATGGCGGCGAGTTCTCGCAACGGATCCGCCATTCCGTTCTAATTCGCGAGTTTCGAAAATTCCGGCCGCTTGCAACAGCTCGGCGTGTCCTTCGCCCGCTTCCACTCGCTAGAAACTTTCCAGAGCCGAAAGGACACCACCCGAGATGCATAATTTCGTTTCGCAGTCGCGATTCCGGCCGCGGCCGCTCGTAATTCGCGCTTTCACCGCGGCGAGAAGAATAGGAGCAGCAGGGACACAGAGGTGTCCCCCGTGAGAGGGATAAAACGCGACGGAGGCGAACGGTCAACGAGCGCATTGTGTCTGGCGGTTCTTTTTGTCCGGCCGTGCCGAACGGTGCGCGCCGATCGAGTCACGGTTCACCGGGAAGAAAGTAAGAGTGGTCCGACCAGGAAGTCGTGGCACCGGCGAAGGCGGTCCGTCCGGATGCCGATGAAAGGGAAGCGTGCTCTCCCGACCGCTGATTTCTCTCTTTCTAGCAGACCTCGTCTCTCGTTCCATGCCGGATTCGTACGTGGTCGTGACTTTCTCTCTGTTTCTTTCCTCCGCCGCAATTTTCTCCGTTCTGCTCGCTGTCCCGACGGGATGAATGGACGCCGGTCGATGTCTCTTTCTCGTTCGAGATTATTTCTCGCGGGGGCTAGA